GCAACCTCAGGCCACTTGGACAGGTGTGGCACCGATGGCAGCTGAACTCTGTGCATCATCCCTGCCATCACTCCATATTACATCTTAGTCCTAGTGTTCCCCTGGTGCGTGTGCAACCCCAGAAATGCAACACCTCACCAGGCTCTGTCCATGCCTGGAGCAGTCAGGGAGATACAGCCCACACTGAAATGTATCACACCAAGCAAACTCCTATTCTTTCTGCGCCAGCTTAGCTATTCTCCAATGCAAAGCCTGTGATGGGAGATGAGGGAAGCTGCTTTTGACCCTATGCCCCTGAGGGATGTCCTGACGCCTGGCTCAGGCTGTGTGGGAGCCTGAGTCTGGGCTGTGCTGGTTGCAGGGCAGGAGCCGATGCCTCTGCTGGGTAGGATGCCCATGGTAGTAGCGCTGGTCGTTGCACTCCTGGCACTGGGGATTTTGCTGCTCTTCGTGCTCTTCAGGTCAGTATGTGCCTCACCTCTCCTGCTCTCTGCAAGGCATCCAGCACTTTGCACTGCCAGGGAGTGCCTAAGTGGACCCTGAGATAAAGCAAGGTGGGAGCAGGGCTGCTACATGGGCAACAGCCTCTCCTCTGTCTCTCTCTTCTGCTGGTCTATGGGCCTGACTTGCTGTTTTGCAGGCGAAAGTACAACAGTTCAAAAACCTCGGAGAACAACAGCACTATCCCCCTGCGAAGATGTCAAGGAGGTGCAGTATGAGCAGACGCCATGCATGCCTTGTCTGGACAGGCTGTCTGTTAAAATCACAGACAGGGTGCTTACAGGCTCTGTAAGGTCCTTACAGGAACGAGGGGATCAGAGCTGGCTGGCATGGGGAAAGGGACACCTCCCAGGACAATGGGACCTGCGTGGGGAGGGACAGTCTAGGGTTTGGTGGGGTCCTGACTACCGCAATGTCAACTTGGTCCCAGCTGCAGAGCTCCAGGGCCAGCCATCAGGTGCGTGCTAATCTCCTGGCCTCATGGTCTCCATAGGTGTGCGCAAGCTGAACACACAGATCCCCGTGGAGGAACTGCTGGAGGCTCTGAAGAGGTTTAAGAGGGCAGAAGTAGAGGCAGAGCAGACAGAGGATGAATCAGTCAACAGGCATGACGCTGGGCGTCTGAGAGAGTATCAGGTCTGGTTTAGCTTTGCTTTCCCACCTGGCTGCACTTTCCACCCAGCACTCACCCATTCCTTGGGTGTGCAATGCAGTTGGCCTTGGCCAGCCCCAGAACACGTGCCAATGCAGAGTGGGCTTGTCTTCTTCCTCTGCAGCAACTGTCCTCCACTTTGTTGCATCCCTGCGATGCTGGGAAGGAGCTGTGTAATCAGAACAAGAACCGCTACAAGAGCATCATCCCATGTAAGCAGAGCTCTTCAGGGGTTGGCACAGACACTTGGAGGTGGTCGGGCAGTACAGGGTGCTGGGCTGGTGTAGGTGCCCCTCCAGCTATTCAGCAATGCTGAGCTCCTCATCTCATCCTCACTGATGAGTTTCAGCGGCCACTGAAACACAGAGGGATTTTCCAAAATCATCATGTTGGCCCCACTGTTTTATATCCAGTTGGAGAATCCTTGTTCTGCTCCTCAAATCTCCCTGCAAGCTTCATCATTGATCATTGTATTCCTGTTCCTGCTGTTAGTCATTGCTGAACACTGCTGTGTCCCATCCAGAGGTGGCTATTTGTGGGAAAGCAGAGGGAGTGACCCAATTTCTATCAAAACTTAAAGCTCCTCTGGGCCCCACATGGCGTGGAGATTTGGCCATTGCATTAGCAGTCTTCCCCCAAAACACATTGCGTTTCCTGCTGTCCCATGTCACCTTTTATCTCATTAGCTGTTCTTTACCTCTGAACATGTCCTGAGGCCTGGAGTGCTGCTGAGGAGGGAGCAGACAGTCCTGGGCTTTCCTAAATTATATCCCCCTCCTTAAACAGTCACTTTGTTGCTGCCCCGAACAGACAGCCCACCGACTCCCACCTCCCTTCTCTTTCAGATGATTACTGCCTCCCTTCTCTTTCAGATGATTACTGCCGTGTGGTGCTGCAGCACTCTGACATGGGGAAAGGCTACATCAATGCCAGCTACGTGGATGTAGGTAGCAAGGAATTGCTGCCCTGGGCAGGGTAGAGGTGCCTGGGCAGGGTAGGAGAGGTGCCTGGCTGTGCTGGGTGAGGACAGTCCTGCTCACATGGGTGGCTCCAGGGTCTGGCACTTGCTGCCCTCGGCAGGTCTTGGAATGTCGCTTTCCTTGCATCCTCTCCGAGCTGCCCGGCGTACTCGAGGATTGTGTGCAGTTCTCATGCCTAATAAAAAGGGACCTATGTGAGGTGGCAGGAGCTGAGATGCAGCCCCTGGGTACCCCCTCTCCCAACTGGCCAGGAGTGGTGCTGTGGGACGCGCTGTGCCGAGGGCTCTGGGCTCTGGTGCCTGTGGGGATGGGTCCTTTATTTCATTCCCTGTTAAACATTTAACTTCTCCCCCACAGAGCTACCGGAGTCCACGCTTCTTCATTGCAGCTCAAGGTGGGTGCTCCCAGCCCCCATGCTCAGGAGATGCCAGTCCCTGCTCTGAGCACTTTGGGGAGTGGGGAACTGGGACAGCAGCCTAGGAGCCGTTAATGGCTCAGTCCAAGGCCCTGTCTTGGACAGTGATCACAGCTGCCGCAGGACATGGAAGGCCTCAGTGGCAGTTTGTCCTCAGCACTGCCCAGGCTGAGGACATGGTCCTTCCACCCACTAGCCTGGTTTGTTCCCTTTGGCGGCTGGAGTGACAGGGATAAACCTGCAAATGCCTGACATGTCTGCACTCGGTGCACTCGGAGGCAGGCTCCTTCCAACACTGCAAAGCTGAGATGGAGCATGCAGTGAGGAGGTCGCAGGCTCCTTGCAAAGCTGCAGAAATGCTCTTCAGGAAATAGGACCCTAAATATGGGAGCAGCTCATGGTCGTCTTGAGCGTCTGGATGGGGAAGCCCCTGAAGCAGCAGTGAATCCCTGATGTACCCTGGGCTCACCTGCCCTGCGGCTTCCTTCTCCCGATTTCTAACATGGGTGATGAAGCCAAGGTGCCCAGCACCCCCTGCCAGGTGCTGCTGTGCCCAGGCTGTGCAGTGTTAGTCCCCAGGCAGAGGGAAGCCCAGGGCTGCTCGTAGCCTGGGAATGTCTGAGCTGTGCCTGGGAGCAGCTACACCCCTGTGGCCTGGACACTGGCACAGGGGTCTCCTCTTCCTCCCCAAGGCCCTTTGCCTGGGACAGTGGTGGATTTCTGGCAAATGATCTGGCAGGAGAAGACCTCGGTCATCGTGATGCTGACAGGCTTGGTGGAGCAGAACAAGGTAGAGAAACCATCTCAGTCTGTGCTCAGCTTGGGCCTCCCCAGAGCCCAGGCTTCCTTGCCTGCTTTGCTTTGCTTTGCTTTGCTCCCAGTGCAGCTGTCAATGAGGACAGAGAGCAGCTCCACACCACCGCTGGCTTGCAACGCTCCCCTAATGGGTTTGCTTGTGCTTAGCGGTCTCGCTGCTGTTGACAGACCAAGTGCGAGCAGTATTGGCCAGAGCAGGAACAGGTCTACGGGGACTTCACCGTGACACTCAACACCACCAGGACCACCACGGGCCTTGTCACACGTACCTTCTGCCTGCAGAAGGTAAGCCGGGTGTGTAGCTGAGATGGGAATGGAGGATGCTTTTTAGGTTTCAGCAGCTGGTGGGAGCTGTCAGCCAAAAGACTCTGTGGGGAGCCTTGCCTAGTCTCCAGCACTGGCAGGTCAGCATTGCTATCACTGGATGCCATGCCAGGGCATTGGCCCCAGGTTTCTGTGCCAGGCAGAAATTGGTCAGCTCCAGTGGTCATCCCAGCTGAGTCTGAACTGATGATGCACATGGGCTGATCATGCATCCTTGAGGGCTTGGATGAGGTGATCACAAAGGGTGTAAAAGCAGTTAAAGGGTATAAAATGGCATCTGTGTACATCCAGGATGATGGGACATGTGCCTGCCTGTCACCTGGACCAATCTGCAGAGGGTCCACATTGAAGCTCTGTGGTCACTTACAGCTCCTAAATCTGAACAGATAGTTCATGGTTTAAGATAACTTATATAATGACATTTCTCAAGATGGGTACTTCTGCTGAAGTTATATCTCAGATAATAAGCAGAAACTGAAGGAGCTGCAGGGAGGAGAAAACAGGCACAATATAAAGAAATTACAGTTATGCATATTCTTGTCTTTTCTTGTCTTGCCCTAGCTGAAAGCTCCAAGAGCACCTGATGGTGGGACATAGCAGTTCATAAGTTCAGGCAAAGTGAATGTGATGTTTAGGGAAAAACACGCGACGGTCTGGTAACAAAAGTGACTACATTCACATCAGTGCAGTACCAGCCTTAGGAAATACCTTATCTGGGGAAGCCAGGGCTTTTTGATAACTATGGAAACACTCTACACTGTGATTATTTTTTTTTTCCCTCTGCATTTACCACTCTGAGTTCACTGTTCACAGCACTGGGGAAACAGAGAACAAAGCAAATTGTATGGCTGTGTGCCAGGTGAATTTGCCCTTTGCTGTCCGATGAGCTATAGTGGAGCAGTCATTGTGGTGGGAGTGCTGAGGGGAACACTCTGCTGGTGCCCCACTGAAGTGGTTTTCTCCACTGCTCCCTACCTGTTAGCATGCAATTACTTCATGCAAGTTTCCAGGTTTTCCTGCTCCCAGCCGTGTCTCCCTCTTTGCAGGCAGGCTATGCTCTCCCAAGAGTGGTGGAGCAGTTTCACTACCTGCTGTGGCCAGACCACGGGGTCCCCAGAAACCCTGCCCAGCTCCTCTGCTTAGTGGAAGCGGTGAACAAGAGGGGGTTGGAAGCGCCTGCTGGACCTGTGCTGGTGCACTGCAGGTACTGGGGCTGGGAGTGCTTGGGTGCTGGGGCAACACTGGCCGGGGGAGCGCTGACCCCCAATTTTCTGTGTCCTCAGTGCAGGGATCGGACGGACAGGTACCTTCATCGCCCTGGACTTCCTCCTGAAGATGGGGAAGGCTGAGGGGAAGGTGGATGTGTTTCACTGCGTGCAAAGGCTGCGGGAGCAGCGGGTCAGCATGGTGCAGACCAAGGTGAGGAGTGTTACCTGCTCCCTGCACACTGTCAGGCTGCAGATCTGCTTCCCACCTTTCCCAGGGGTGTGGCATGCAAAGCCACACTGGCCATGCCATTCATGGTCTAGTCACAGGGACTGGAGCTGCCAGGTGATGGAGACTGCAGGATCTTGTTTTCAACGCTGTGTCCAAACCTAGTTGGGATCCATGTTCCCCTGAGACCCTCTGAGATGCCAGCAACATTCATATGTACCAGTCATCCTGGTATACAAGGGCTGTCTTGAAGGCAAGAAGCATGAACGAGAGTCCACATGTCCTTCAGGCTTTCAGGATGTCTGCCCTTGTGGCATCTGCAGAGCAGCAGTGTCCTGGCCAAGGGACTACGTCCCCATGGTCTGCTCAGTGCTGGGACCCTTTGGAGGAAATTAGGTTGGGCAGAACCACCCAGCTGCTTGTAGAACTAACTAGTTCACTGGTTTTCTGGGTTTCTTTCTCCAGAGCAGGAGTCTGGTCTAAGAGGGAGCATTAAACCACAGGAAGATGGTCTGTATGAGTTGATGTCGTTGCTGGCTGTTTCTCAGAGCAGGGCTGCCTGCACTGAGAGATGTCTCAGGTGCCTCAGGCCCCACAGCAGGAAGGTGAAGGATGGACCTGGCTCATTCCTGCCACAGGTCAAGCTGGTGGTCTGGAGTCCCAGGGCTCCTCATGGAGCTGCTCCAGACTGTGCAGCTGACACATGTCCTCATGCAGGAGCAGTACACCTTCCTGTATGAGGTGCTTCTCGAAGGCTTGCTCTGCAGCAGCACCGGGGTCCCAGTGGAGAGCATCGCCAGCCATGTCCGCTGCCTTCGAGAAGCTGAGACCTCAAGGCACAACAATGTACTGGAGAAGGAGTTCAAGGTACCACTAGGATCTGGTGCAGTGGGTCTGGTGCCGCGGGAGCTGGTGCGTGGTGCCTTCCCCTACTGGTCCCCTCCCTAGCTGTGGGATGGAGATGGGGGAGCATTTCTCTGTGGTGGCTGAAGAAGGGGAGGAGCTGACAGGCAGGACTTGCTTGGCTGAATCATCCCTACAGGCCCTGCAGAAGTTTTCTGAGTTGTTCCAGCTCCTGCCATGCAGAGAAGCGGAGAAACCCAGCAACCAGCCCAAGAACCGCAAGCCAGGGATCCTGCCAGGTACCGCTGGAAGGGCTGGGCAGCCCCTTGCTCTGCAACCCAGCGCCTGAGAGCAGCATCGGGGGACAATTCTGCCCTGCTGCTTCCCTCCCCAGCACCATGCCACTGGCAGGGTCTGCCCAAAGTCCAATCGTCATTTTCTGGTTGGTAATAAATACAGATTAGGCTGGTCCCTCCATGGGAGCCAGACCCTATCCCTGCTTCCTTCTGGGCTTGCTGGAGGCATGTATTCATGGGGTGCATCTGGGATAAACATGTCCCTGAGTCTAATTTGTCCCAGAGGAGGAGCCCAGACGAGGCCTTAGGGAGCAATGAGGAGGGTGGACCTGCCGCGCCTCTGTGCCTTCGCACATGGGGTTTTGGACATCCCATTTAGGCAGCCATGAGCTGTCATGGCCATGGGGCTGGTGGTGTCTGTTCATCCAAGCCCCTCTAGCCCATGCCGCAGGGAGCCACGCTGACCCCACCGCTTGCAGGGAAAGCCCCATGCCTCTGTGCAGGGAAAGGATGGCTCATAATTTCTCTTTCTGCTCCTTGCCTCCGCAGCGGATTCCTGCCGGCCCATGCTGATGTCCTCGCTGAATGCAGATGGCTCGCCAGGTTACATCAACGCCGTGTTCGCCAATGTAAGGCTCTAACCCCCAGCGGGAGCAGCAGACAATCCCCTGGGCACCACTGCTGGAGGCAGGGATAGACCGTGCCACCCTGGTTGGAGGTGTCCCAGCCCTGGGGCTGCTTCACAGTGACTTCCCAGCGGCTGGGGCCCTGCTGCCAGGAGATGGCCCCCGTGATCAGCCTAAGCCCTGCCTGCACAGACAGCTCAGCAGGCTGCCGCACAGCCGCTGGCTTTTGCCTGCTGGGAGCAGAGCCCAGGTGTGATGAGCTGAGGGGGCAGCGGGGTGCAAGCCTGCTCTGAGCAAGGCTGGGGTGCCCTGCATCTCCTTGGGCTCTGCCCCTGGCCTGCAGAGCTCTGGCTGGAGGGAAGCAGAGAGCTGTTCGGAGGGGCTCTCGGGGGCGGTGGATTGTGTGACCTCTTCCCCCAACACCCCGGTGTGTTTTGCAGACATACAGCGAGGAGGACAGACTCATCGTCACCCAGCTGCCTTTCTCCACCACGCTGGTGGATTTCTGGGCTCTGGTCTGGGATTACACCTGCACATCGGTGGTTGTGCTGAACCAGCTCCAGGAGCTGGACAAGGTCAGCAGCCCGCGCGCAGCCCTCCCGGCTCCCTGTAAGGCCGGGCAATGTGCTTTCTGCCTTTGGCCCCACGCAGCTCTTCTCATGAGAGCCTGCTTGCTGCAGGAGCCCACTGCAAGCTCATGGGCTGCATCTGGCTGTGAGGACAGTCCCAGCACCATGGTGGGTGTCCCCAGTCTCACAGCAAGGGAACATCCCTTGGGTTTTGCTTACCCTTGCCCAGGTGTCCTCTCCACAGGAGCGTTATTTTTCTGGCTGCAGCACCGTGGGCTGGTCCCCAGCAAATGGCAGGCAGAGCACTCAGATGCACACTGTGGCTTATGGGCAAGGGGCTGGTGTAAGCACACCCATGTGAGGTGCTGAGCTCTGCCATGCTTGCAGGTCAGGGCTGTGTGCAATCATGTGCGTGTCTCCCCCCTAGACATATGTGGAGTTCTGGCCCACCCAGGGTGAAGATACCTATGGACATTTCCATGTCCACCTGATCTCAGAGGAGCCCGGAGTTGGCTTCGCAGCCTGGACATTTGCCCTCACCAACAGGCAGCAGGTGGGCTCTTTGCACAGAGATGGTGAAGTCCTTTGAGAACAGCCTTTGCAAGACCTGGGAGGACCAGCCAGGCTGCAGCGTCAGCAGGCTTTGATTTGGGGTCAAAGTCACAGCTAGCGGTGGCACAATGGTCAGAGGGATCTGATGGGATCCTGGAAAGGCACTGGCCAGAGCAGGGCCTTTCGCCTTGGGAGAGACGTTAGTCTCAAGAGGGTGAGGCTGCAAGCAGAGGTACAAGGCAGAGGTTCATTTGTGTACCTTTCTAACGTGGATGACAGCAGCCATAAACGGAGTCTGTGCATCTTGGTGGTGGTTCATGGATGGGGACAGCTATTACAGGTAGCTGTGCTGGACTGGCATCAGTCTGAGTTGCACCTGGTGGTCAGCTCTTGTGCTCTGTCCATCTGCAGACCTCAGAGCACTCAATGGAGAAGGGCAGAGTCTGGGACTGGGCCATCCCACTGTGGAGCTGCTCCCTTGATCCAGTGTCCATGGCTGAGCCAGGACAGACACTGTCCCTCCCTTCCCTCCGAGAAGCCAATGTGTTTCTTCTCTGCCCACTGTCTTTCTTCCCCATTAGCCCAAGAAGTCTGCACTGGAAGTTCGGTTTTGGCAACTGAAGGACTGGCCCATGCAGCAGCGTCTTCCCCCGCACCCTGCCACCATCATCAGCCTGCTAGGGAAGGTGGAGACACACCATCGGCAGAGCCAAGATGGACATATCCTTATCACCTGCTGGTGAGTGATGTCTCTCAGAGGAGCAGCCATGGCACAGAACTGGCTCAGCCCAGGCTGCATCAGTGAACTTGGGTCACAGCAACGTCCTCAGCTCAGGTGAAGGGTGGACAAATGAACATGAATTCAGCGGTGTTTAGGGAAGAAGGCTTCCCTGTGGAGGCTGGCTGGGTGCAGGATCTGTGAACACGACCATCCTGAGAGCCTGCATGGCTAGTGGGACACCTCTGAGGCTCAGCACTGCCAGGTGATCCCAGGACAAGTGACTCTCCCCTTCCTCTCCTCCGCAGGGATGGTGCTAGCCGGAGCGGAATCTTCTGTGCTGCTAGTTTCCTGTGTGAGCAGATCCAAAGTGAGGGGCTGGTGGATGTATCCCAGGCTGTGAGGATGCTGAAGAGGCGGCGGAGACAGCTGATTAAAGATGTGGTAGGTCCTGACTTCAAACCCAGCCAGGATGGCAACACTGGAGCAAGAGCCATAGCCTGGACCGTCCCAACAGCTGCCCTAGCACCTATGTGCTCAGATAGTCCTGGGGGCAGCAGGGACAGATGAGACCTCTGAAAACCCTGTTTTCTGCCCCTGGGACATACCCGCTCACTCACAGGCAAGTTCTGCAGAACCAGATAAGCACTGAGGCATCCTACGGGCTGAGTTGCCCCTTTCTGGTCCACCTGGCCTGCTCAGCAGGGGGGCTGCGCTGGTGGGTGCTCAGGTGCCTGTCCTGCACCCACCTCACCAGCCGATCTGGGTGCTAGAGGCCATCACAGGATAAGCACCCTGGATGGGAGTGAGCAGCAGATGCTTCATGCCATGGATGCTGGCTCTCCTCCCAAGACCAGCTGGCTCCAGCATTGGGGTAGCCCAGCTCTCAGCTGCTGGAGCACATGCCAGTAATTCCTCAGCAGGGGAAGGTGGGCTCTGACTGGGAGGAGGAGAGTGGGCTGTGCCTGCGCCTGGCTTGCTCAGGAAGTTGTTGGCAACCAAGGCTGGCCTTCCACTGCAGGTGGTGGTGTACCAGGTTCTCACATGCATCCTTCTGTCCACAGGAGCAGTATGGACTCTGCTACGAACTAGCCCTCAGTTACTTGAATTCATTTGAAACCTATGGGAATTTCAAATAGAGGCATGGCCACAGCCCATCTCTGGCCAGGACTTTGACTCTCTTGACAGCCCTCCATCGGTAACAGTGGAAACCAGGGGAGACAAGAGGGGTGTGCACAGCCCCAAGATGCTTCACTTCCCTGAAAAGCCACCCCTCTGCAGCTGGAGAGCACAGGCTGGACTATCTCCAAATTGTCATCAGGCTTTGAAGCAGGAACCTGACCCTTTGCCCAGAGTTTGCACCAGAACTTACCTAGAATCACAGCCCGAATATGCAGATCAGAGCAGAGGCACCAGGACTTGACCTGTCTGTGCCAAGGATGAAGAGAACCAGATGTCCCATCCAGGCTTCCTTGTCCCTTCAGGCAGCCCCAAGGAAAGTGGTGTAGCTCCACCAACACCCAAACTGTGTTTTGCCAGAGGAGCATCAAATCGCTGTAAGACCCATGGGGCTCAGGAACACAGGCTATCTGTCCTACTTTGGGAAGCCCAAGCCCAAGCCAAAGGAGGGACAATCCACAGTCCTGTAAGGCTAGCCTGGTCCTTCCCACCCCACACAATCTCTTCCTGATCCAGGTGCCACAGCCCTGCCAGCTCCAGAGAGGCTCCCTCACCAGCCTGTCTGGCTCCACCATGGCAATCCCAGGTTGTAGTGGCTCAACTTATATATGCTGGATGTGGTTCTGGCAGGGGCTGTTGCACCACGGAGACTGGTTCTGCCTTTGCTGCTCAAGGGCAAGGGGCCTCAGAGCCAGGACTGACCCCATGGCTCTGTTCTGTGTCTCACCAATAAAGATTCTGTGCTGGCCATGGTGGTGGTGACCTCTGATCTTTGCTTTTCTTCCAGGTTTGGCCTGGCACAAGGGCTGCAAAGGAGCTGAGAGCACACAGGTCCCTCAGCTCTGGCCATAGCATGGGCACGGAACACACTCCTGCCCAAGATGAGCGTTGAGGGACATCACCCTTCACTGATTCCCACCACGTACCCCATCCAAACTCATGTGAGAGGTGCCCAGCACAGTCCTGGGGGTTGGAAGAGCTGTCAGGCACCACTCAAGGACACGGGGTCACAGCAGTCCTGCTCATGGCCTCCCCTCAATAAGGTGCAGTTAGCTCCCTGCAGGGGGATGTGACCCCACAAGGGCAATGAGGGGACCAGGCAGGAGCTGTAGTGAGGCAGGCAGCCCCCTCCAAACCACGAGCCTTTATTGATTGTCCAGACAGAGCAGGCAGAGTCACGAAGGCAGCCCAGTCAGGCCAAGCTCCAGCAGAGCCCTGGGTTTGTCTGAGTATCAGCAGACAGAGTGGGGAGAGGTGTTGGGAACCCAGGACATGGCAGGAGCATGGACCATCCCTCAGCCTGAGCCTGTGTGAGTCAGGGACTGGGAAATCTGGCAGACAGTTCCTGCTTCCAGGAAAGCAAAAATGAAAGCAAAGCATAAAATAAGGAACTACAGAAAGTTGCATTCAAAGGCCTTAAAAAAGCAGTAAGCGAAAGCTGGGAGGTGAAAGGGGTGAGGAAGGAAAAAGCTCACAACCCTCCTTGGCCTCCTGTTTTTCCCTTGCTCCGCTGAATTGGATGGGACCCCCAGTGCCGGTCAGAGTCACAGGAGAGCCAGGGGGCCCAGCAGCCATCAGCACTGAGCTGGGGTCATCCTCCCCATCTCCTCCACTCGCTTACTGCTCTGAATGTCTCCTGTGGTCCTGGACAAGAGCTGGAGTGACTGATCTCCAGCCTGGCCACCTTCACCTGTGGAGACCAACAGCAGAGGCTGCTACATGCCCTCGGCTGCATGGGGAGCTCATGCCACCACAGCTGCCTGCACACATGAGTGTCTGAGACAGGCTGGAGTACAGGGCAGTGCCTGCCACAGCCTGACCCCTTCATCCCAGCTGTGCCCAACCACAGGTCCCCGGAGGTGCCCGCCAGTGCCCAGGCAAGAGTAGCAGTCCCTCAGCCTGACCCTCCCGAGACCCCTTCCAGCAGATCTCTCCCCTGGGGGGGATGAAATGGCCGTGGGTCCTTCAAAGGGCTGAGCCATGAGCCACCCTTCGGGATGCCCATCTTTGCTCACCCCTGCCCCTGCTCCCAGCTGGGAGCACTGCCTGGAGCTGTGCTCTGCTGCCGCGTGGGACTTAGCGGGCAGAGCCATCCTGACCGTCCCCGGCACCACAGGGCTGGGGCAAATGGGGAGGTACGTCAGTGAAAAGGATGAGCAGATGTTTCTCCTGAGGGTCAGGCTCTCCTGGGAGATCTCTGCTCACGTTCCAGCTGCCACCCAGCCCTATAGCCCATTTTGTGATGGTGGTCAAGAAAACTGCATTTTCCTACCTTTTTAATTATCTTCCTTAGCTTTGCTGGGCAAAGACTTCCTTTTCCTGGAAGGGCAAAAGGGAGTCCTGAATAAGAGACTGGCATTGCCCATGGCCCTCCTGAACCTGTTCCATTCCTACTCACCTGGAAAGCACAAACCACAGGATCCCTGCAGACAGGAGGAGGAGCACCAACAGCACAACCACCCCAATCACAGTCCCACGCCACGGGCCCGGAGGCTGCCCTGCAACTAATACGCAGCCAGGAGTAGGTGCCACAGCCTGGGCCACGTGCTCGTAATGGCCCCAACGATGGCAAATGGTGCGTGCAAGTGTGTAGATGTGTGTCTTGGTTTAGGTTTCTTCTCGGATGGAAGATCACCCCATGTATGGGAAACGAAAGGTTTCCTCTGCCCACCATGAGACCCCATAGCTCCTGCGCTTGGCCAGCTCCTCTCCACAGAAAGCAGC